TGTTTCCTTTTTCTCTTTTCGCCCTTCCCTCTCTTTCCCTAGGTGGCAGTTTGCTAAGGCGGACTGGACCCTATTTTCCCTCAGTGCTACTCTCTCTGACCTCTCCCTTCTGCCCCTCTCTCGCGCTCTCCTCCTTTTTCATGACACTGTCTTCGACGCTGCCCTCCGCTCTATTCCTCGCTCTTCCTCTCGGGGTCCACGGAAGTGCGTTCCCTGGTGGAATGCGGACTGTGCTCGGGCTGTCCGCTGTAAGCGTGCAGCCTGGAAGAAGCACCGCCGTAGGCAGACGACCGATTCTTTTCTTTTCTTTCGGAAAGCGAGTGCGGTGGCCCGTAGGGCCATCCGTACGGCTAAACGTGAATGTTGGGCATCTTATGTCTCGACAATTACGTCCGAAACCCCTCTGGCCCAGATCTGGAAGCGTATCCGCAAGATAGCGGGTAAGTTCGTTCCCGCTGTTTCACCGGTCCTTCACCTCCATGATACTCTTGTGGCGGACCCGTTGCAGGTCGCTTCCGAACTGGGTTCCCACTTTTCTTCTGTTAGCTCTGGTCTTCATCTTCCCCAATCTTTCCTTCTTCGTAAACCTGTCCTTGAGTCTCGTCCTTTAGATTTCTGCACTCATCTTCAGCTTCCCTATAATGATCCCTTCTCTCTCTCTGAACTTCGTTCTGCCCTGGCCCTCTGCGGTTCTACGGCGGCGGGCTCCGATGGTATTCATTATGAGATGCTTCGCCATCTCCCTCCGAGCACGTCTCAGTATTTACTGAGTCTGTATAATCGGATCTGGGAGTCATCGTCAGTCCCTGAGGACTGGCTCGATGCCGTTGACCTCCCTGTTCGCAAACCGGGGTCTCTGGGTACTTCCCCTAAGGACTTTCGCCCTATTGCTCTCACAAGTTGTGTCTGCAAACTCTTTGAACGTATGGTTAACGTTCGTCTGATGTGGTTCCTGGAACACCATCACCTCCTCTCCCCTTCTCAATTTGGTTTCCGCAAGTGCCGCAGCACGACAGATGTCCTGGTGAACTTGGAGGTCTATATTCGTACTGCTTTTGCTGCGAAGACCTCCGTTGTTGCCGTCCTTTTTGACCTAGAAAAGGCTTACGACACCACTTGGCGTTATCATATCCTATCTCAACTTCATTCTTTTGGCCTTCGTGGTCATCTCCCTCTCTTTCTCCGCAGCTTCCTCTCTCGTCGTTCCTTTCGGGTGCGCCTTGGTACCGCTCTCTCTCCCTCTTTTCAGCAATACGAAGGTGTGCCCCAGGGTAGTGTTCTGAGCACTACTCTTTTTCTGGTTGCCCTCAATGGTCTTCTTTCCTCTCTTCCTTCTGGTGTCTTCTCCGCTCTCTATGTCGATGATCTTACCCTTTGTTGTCAGGGTGATGATTCGCCTCTCCTTCAACGCCGGCTTCAACTTGCAATTGATGCCGTGTCGTCTTGGGCCACAGGTCATGGCTTCAAGTTCTCTACTTCTAAGACTTGTGCCATGACTTTTACGCGGAAACGGGTTGTTCTTCGTCCCTCTTTGTCACTTTATGGTCATCCCCTTGAATACAAAGATTCCGCGAAGCTTTTGGGGTTATTCCTTGACACTCGTTTGTCTTGGTCTCCCCATATCTCTTACCTCCGTGTTGAGTGCTCTAAGTCCCTTACCCTCCTTCGGGTCTTGTCCCATACTTCTTGGGGGGCAGATAGGCGCACTCTCCTTGCTTTACATTCCTCTCTCGTCCTGTCTAAGCTCGATTATGGTTGCCCTACACTCGTCTGCTTCTCCTTCTACTCTTCGCCGTCTTGATGCTTTGCACCATACTGGGTTGCGCCTCAGTTCTGGTGCCTTTCGTTCGACTCCCGTCCTTAGCTTGTATGTTGACACTGGCTTCCTGTCTCTCCAGGACCGCCGTGATCGCTACTGTCTTCGCTATCTTGCGCGGTCCTTGCAACATCCTTCCTCTCGCCTCTGTCGTGCTTTAACTTTTACCCCTCCTGCGGTTCCTGTTCCTCTTCCCCACCTCCCTCTTTCTGTCCGGTTATCTCGCCTACAGGATTCTCTTTCCGTTCGTATTTCTGATGTTTCTCCTCGTGTTGTTCCTTCTTTGCCCCCGTGGAGGGTCCCTCTTCCGCGGTTTTGTACATCCTTGACTCGTATCACTAAAGCTTTTACCCCTCCTACAGTTCTAAAACGCCTTTTCCTCGAGCACTTTTCTTCTCACTCCCGCTCCGTTTCTGTCTTCACCGATGGGTCTAAGTCAGCGGACGGTGTTGGCTACTCTGTTGTTTTTCCTGATCGCACTTATATGTGTCGCTTGCCTCCGGAGACTAGCATCTTTACAGCGGAACTTTATGCTATTCTCTATGCTCTTCGTCTCCTGCTTTCTCGTTGTCAGTCTTCCTTTGTGGTTGTTGTTGACTCTCGTAGTGCCCTCATGGCTCTCGGGTGCTTTAATCCAGTTCATCCGGTAGTTGTCGAGATCCAGCATTGGCTGTTTCTCGTTCACAGTAAATTTAAGTCGGTTGAGTTTTGTTGGGTTCCCAGCCATATTGGCGTGTCTTTAAATGAGCGTGCGGATGCTGCCGCTAAGGAAGCTGTCCGCTCTTGTCCCATCTCTCGTAAAGGCATTCCGTATTCCGACTTTTACCCGGTTATCCATTCCTCCGTCCTTACCCGTTGGCAGGCTTCTTGGTTGTCTGTTACTGGTAACAAGCTACGTACTCTTAAATGTTGTGTTTCCTCGTGGCCGTCCTCCTTCCACCGTAACCGGCGGTGGGAAACAGCTCTGGCGAGGTTGCGTATTGGCCATACTCGCTTAACCCATGGTCACTTGATGGAGCGCCGCCCTGCTCCTTATTGTCCTAGTTGCATTGTCCCTCTTACGGTCGTGCATGTCCTTCTTGAATGTCCTGACTTCCAGGACGAGTGTGTGTCTTGCTTTCCGACCGCCCCTCGCGGTCACCTGTCCCTCGATAGAATTCTTGGTGACTCGGATACTTTTGATATCGTTCGCCTTATGCGTTTTTGTTCTCGTATTGGCATCCTTGGTGATATTTAGCGCCCTCTGATTATTTTGCGTATTTGATGGTGCTACATAGCCTTCCCGGTTTGGTGCCTTCTTTTGATAATTACTTACTTACTTACACACCCTCATGTCGGATGCATCCATCTTTTATTTGGTTGTTTTGTACAGAAAGAAACTATTTTCGTGTGTTTCATCATACATTTACTGCATGTTATTTTCATGTGGTTTTGGTATCCCTGCTCTTACCTTCTCTCAGATTAGCTGTTTTCGTTGTTTATATTTTGGGCAAAAGTTTTGCTATACAGGTTGTGAAACTTGGGTTTCTGATTGTGATATTTTGTGTTGCCGCAAATTGCTTCAAGGGCAGCACACCTGGTCGTGGTGTGCCATTTCCCGCTATAGTTTGTTGTCATCGACTCCTTGCAAATGGCTGCCGGGCAGTTGAAAGAAATAAAAGGGCTGAGGCCATTGAGGCTTATGATTTTTCTGGTCTCTTTGCCATGGTTCTAGTTCTTTTGGGCTTTAGTACATTGCCACACTTGTGTCTGCAGGGGCAGTTTTTCATTGTAGTGGCAGTATTGGGTTCTTGGTGTTTGTTTTACATGTTCCTTGTTCTTCTTTGGTCCATGAATATTTTACTAGACCCAGTTTATATTTCGTTTGCCTTGAATATTTTTGTTGTCTTGGGTCATCTATTGGATCAGTTTTTCTTGGAAGCCTTTTCCCTGGACTCTGCCTCTTTTTTAGAGGAGGTGGGTCTTAATGGGTGGTGGGGATGAACAGGCTGTTCATACAGCCTGTGGGCTGCTCTTGGGCCGATATTCTTCAGGTGTTCATAACCTCGTCTACTGTGTTTTCCATTCCCCAGTTCTGCTTTCTCCTTGTTTGAGGGGAAAGGGGTTTTCTGGCTTCTGCTGTCTTCTGCCCCTGGTTTCCCCCCTTAGTTTTTGGTCTTTGATGATAACAGGGAGCCCTCCCTGTAATCCAACATTAAGCATAATAAACCCACCTCTTTCTGGTAGGTCCAGAGTGGTTTCCTGGCTTCTCCTGTCACCTTTAGATGCTTTGGTTTGTCTTGTGTCAGCTCATGACTGACGGGGTGTATCGGCTGAACCGGCAGCTCCCAGTTCTGCCACCTTGTGATGGACAACTAAAGTGAAATGACCTAACTGCTTAGTGTATAATTTCATTTGTTTCGTTTTGCCTTGCTGTTGTCCATTTTGCCTTACTGTTGTCAGTTTTGCCTTCTATCTTTTTAGTGGCTAGTTCCTTGTTTAGAGGGATCTAGTATTCTCTGCTTTCTGCACAAAATTATTGTAAACACTTAAAATCCCTTAACACTTTGTGGGCTGTAGCCCCTCACCAGAGTACCTGTCCAGTCCGCCCGGGCCACCTCTCAGTGATGCGTCAAACATATTGTTTTTTTAAGTTTTCTAGAATATCATTTTGTGTTATAATTATAAATTGTTGAAATGTTCTGAAATGCTTTAGATTATAGATGAATAAGTAATGATAAATGCATTGTAGTTTTTGTGTAGTCACTGAATATAGAAAAGTTATGAACACTTATCCAACGCTCTTTTATTATTTATCGTAAATACGATAAGTATGGTTGCAAATGATTAAAGTATATAGCTATAAAACTAAAGCAAACCTTATTTGTGTACTTTTTAGTAGGTAATTTGCAAAGTGATGGTAAAATACGCGAGTGTGAGACAATATAGCTTGAATGTGAGAAGTTTGTCATCAATTTTAGGGTACAAACCTAGGTGGCCACACTTTGGGAGGAGGGAGTGAATATTTTGCATGTTTTATATTACATTTCATAAAGAGCACTGTACTGTACATCTACTGTTTTGATGTAGTTGGGTGCTGTTTCGATTATTTTTCCGTGTGATTGTGTTGGCTCTTCATAATGCTGTGAAGTGTGTATGACATAGTTAATGTTTGAGCATATTTTCCCCTTCTTTTCCTGTACAGCTCTACTGTCTGTGAGCTGAATGTCTCCCCATCCCTTGAAAGTGAGAAACCAGGAAATAATGCTGATGATGATTGGTGCGCTCATAATGCAGGGGCTGGAATGATGTGTTTACAAGTCGACCCGTTCATGCCGAGTGAGATAGGAAGGTATATCTACCTTCCTATCTGTGAAATAGTTTATGAGCTCCGAGGACTCGTATTCTATTAGAATCGTAGAGTAGACTAAAATAAATTGGTTGTCCAACAGTGGAGATTAAAGGTTGAAATCATTAGATTGCTTGCGCATTTTAACCATCATTTTGCCATTACAATGTACGATGCTTTAAGGTTTTAATGTCCACATTCAGTGTCTTAAATTAATGTCGCCTAATTTTATTATTTTAATGAATATGCTAATGATAAGTACATAAAGAAATGTTGAATGTAAAGAACGTATCATAATTTAGCTTCAGGTATAAGGTAGAAACTGAGCTAAATGTGATATCTTGTATCTGATGAATGTATGACACTTTTGTTTTTGGTATAGGAATATTATTTATAAATGATTCATAATTTGAAAGTAAATGATGTATATTGTTACTTTTCCGCAGTGAGAACAACGAACTGGACTTTGGCACCAATCCCAAAGTTGGAACACGCCGATACATGGCTCCAGAGGTGCTTAACGAAACTATAAACACAAGTTGCTTCGAGTCCCTTAAAATGGCAGATATTTACTCCTTTGGCTTAGTCCTCTGGGAAATAGCTAGAAGGTAAGAGTTAATGATGATAATTAACTTCTCCACTCATTCTGAAATATTCCACAAATAAGTAACTAGTAAACAAGTGCACATAGAGTAATTGTATTGTAGAATTGTGCGTATTTAGACTGAAGGTAACAAATAGAACAATTGGAATGACAACAAATGATAGCATTACTAGTTACAATGTATCAAAACAAGAGTTACTAGTCATGGTGTATTGGAACAAGTTACTAGTCATGGTGTATCGGAACAAAAGTTACTAGTCATGGTGTATCGGAACAAGAGTTACTAGTCATGGTGTATCGGAACAAGAGTTACTAGTCATGGTGTATTGGAACAAGAGTTACTAGTCATGGTGTATCGGAACAAGAGTTACTAGTCATGGTGTATCGGAACAAGAGTTACTAGTCATGGTGTATCGGAACAAGAGTTACTAGTCATGGTGTATTGGAACAAAAGTTACTAGTCATGGTGTATCGGAACAAGAGTTACTAGTCATGGTGTATCGGAACAAGAGTTACTAGTCATGGTGTATCGGAACAAGAGTTACTAGTCATGGTGTATCGGAACAAGAGTTACTAGTCATGGTGTATCGGAACAAGAGTTACTAGTCATGGTGTATCGGAACAAGAGTTACTAGTCATGGTGTATCGGAACAAGAGTTACTAGTCATGGTGTATCGGAACAAAAGTTACTAGTCATGGTGTATCGGAACAAAAGTTACTAGTCATGGTGTATCGGAACAAGAGTTACTAGTCATGGTGTATCGGAACAAGAGTTACTAGTCATGGTGTATCGGAACAAGAGTTACTAGTCATGGTGTATCGGAACAAGAGTTACTAGTCATGGTGTATCGGAACAAGAGTTACTAGTCATGGTGTATCGGAACAAGAGTTAAACAAATTCTTAACTACTTGCTGTCCTATATACCACTGTAAACATGTTCTTAAACTTAATTATAGCTACATGTTTTCTAAATTACGTAATTTGTATAATTGTACAAACTTTGCAAAATATTATGGTGTGTGTTATATAATTTCAGATGTGCAAGTGAAAATGGAGAGAGATATCTTTTAGCTGATGACTACCAGTTGCCTTACTTCAACTGTGTGCCGCCAGACCCTTCCTTTGAAGACATGCACGAAGTTGTGTGCGTCAAGGGTATTAGGCCAGAGATACCTCTTCGCTGGCATTGTAACGAGGTTTGTAATCCTATTGACTTCAGTTCTTGTTTGATGCAACTTTATATTGTATTATATTATGTGAGCTGAAAGTCATCTTAATTGTATTCAGTCATTTTTTTGGAGTCTTAATAATAGAAAAAGAAAGCATATACAGTATTGTATAATTTGTATATGAATGTTACGCTCTGCTCCTGTGATGTTATTAAACGCACTTGTTGAGACAGTCTAATTGGGAACGTATCTGATCAATTGAAATAAGTTTATTGAGGTAAAATACACACAAAGGGATGAGGTAGCTCAAGCTATTCTCACCCCGTTCAGTACATCGTGTTAATACATAGATAGACACACATCACAAACAATAAACATATTACCAAACATCCTGAGAGATAAACATATACATTTCCTACGTATCTGATCAAGATCTTTCAGAATCATCTTTTTTTAATAATTTTGCCATTTTTAATTATTGCTTTCTGGGCATGGCCCTTTGTTTCTTTCCTTGCCAGGACTAAGGGTACAGTACACTTCCCACATGTCAGGCTCTAGTTAACATTAAGTCCCACCCTGATGAGGCCTATGTATATGAACTTGCCATCAAGTTTACAGATGAAAGTATACCTCAGTCTACCCCAAGAGACTGCAAGTGATATTACCAAAGAACTGAGGCAAACTACTTGATACCTCTTTACATAATCATTGGGATTTCATTGATAGGCAATATTACCTTTGAAAATACATAAGTACTGTTGCAATTACCCACTACATCAACCACCAGGTTACAGCTCTGGTAGTGCAGTGGTAACACACATCCCGTGCCTCGCAGGTGATTTGGTCTAGGTTTGTGTTCTGGCCAGGGAAGATTGTCTGGGCAACAGTCCTAAATGTTCACCACTATTTATTCGGCAGTACCTGTATATCATCTGTGTTGATTCAAACATCCTTTTCCACGCTGTCCATTCTTCTGGGGCCAGATTCACGAAGCAGTTACGCAAATACTTACGAAAGTGTACATCGTTCCTCAATCTTTGATGGCTTTGGTTACATTTATTAACCAGTTTACAAGCTTGAAAACTTGCCAATCAACTGTTGTTATTGTTATAAACAGCCTCCTGGTGCTTCGGAGCTCATTAACTGTTTAATAATTGTAAATAAAGCTGCCAAAGATTGAGAAAAAATTTACTGGTTCGTAAGTGTTTGCGTAACTTCTTCGTGAATCTAGCCCCGTGAGGAATTGTGGGTGGTGATCATGTCTTCCGGTCTTGTATTCCCGGGGCAGTCTTGTCTTGTGTACGAGACTGTGGTACTTCTCTTCGTTCTGTTTAGGGCTGCTCGCTTTGGGTAGATGGAGTAGACGATCATTACTGATATTCTCATATGGCTGCTGGACGCATGGGCGCCCGGAGGTAGACCTCTTTGCATCAGTTTGGTCTCGGCGTCTCCCATTGTACATGGTGCCGTTCCCTCCTGTGAGGCTCATAGTCAATGCTTTTCGGCAGGACTGGTCTTGGTGGGGGTTTCTGTGTCTTTTTTTTTTCCCTGGTCCAGCTGTTGCTCCTAGCTCTAGCTCGACTGGAATTCTATCAGGGGAGTATGCTTCTCTTAGTTCCATGGTGGCCGACCCAGCCTTGGTTTCAGGCGCTGCTTGCTTGGTGTCCGAACCTGGGCGTTTTTCTGCGGCTCCGCCTCTTGCAGCAGGTCGTGCCAGTGAGGTTCCTCATTGGTTCGACTTACTCTTCCGCTCTATGCATCTGGTTTTTCTGATGCGGGGGTATCGTGCTTGTATGGTGATCAGGTGGCTTCTTTGATGGTGTCTCACCTGTGGTTTTCGTCTCGGCGACTGTATAAAGTTTCTTGGTGGGATTTCTGCCATTTCCTATCTCTTCGTAGGGTTTTGTCGGTGTCAAACAGGATTGTTTTGTCCTTTCTCTCTTGGTTTTTCTTGGGCCTGTCGCTATTATTAGGGAATTATTTGAGAATAATAATGACTGACGACCTAACGTTTAAGGAGCATAACCAAGCAAATATTGCAACAGCCAGAAAAATGATAGGATGGATTACGAGAACTTTCAAATCCAGGGATCCCATCACAATGGTTGTACTCTTCAAGGCACTTGTGTTGTCCCGTCTTGAGTACTGCTCAGTACTCACTTCCCCCTTCAGAGCAGGAGAGATTGCTGAAATAGAGGGAATACAAAGAACATATACGGCACGCATAGACGCAATAAAGCACCTAAATTATTGGGATCGTATCAAAGCCCTCCAAATGTACTCACTAGAAAGAAGACGAGAGAGATATCAAATAATATACACCTGGAAGATACTGGAGGGCCAAGTACCAAATCTACACAGAAAAATAACAACGTACTAGAGTGAACGATATGGAAGAAAATGTAGAATAGAACCAGTGAAGAGCAGAGGTGCCATAGGCACAATCAGAGAACACTGTATAAATATCAGAGGTCCGCGGTTGTTCAACGTCCTCCCAGCAAGCATAAGAAATATTGCCGGAACAACCGTGAACATTTTCAAGAGGAAACTAGATTTATTCCTCCAAGGAGTGCCGGACCAACCGGGCTGTGGTGGGTATGTGGGCCTGCGGGCCGCTCCAAGCAACAGCCTAGTGGACCAAACTCTCACAAGTCATGCCTGGCCTCGGGCCGGACTTGGGGAGAAGATGAACTCCCAGAACCCCATCAACCAGGTATCAACCAGGTATCATGCTGAATACTGTCGTTTCTTATCGTGCGGCGTTGGCGATGCTACTGATGCTTACATTTGGTGTGGATGTCACTTCCACTTCCTTCCACAAGCTTTCTAAGGTGTTTTTTCATCTTCAGTATGGGATTGCCTTTTTAAGGCCTTGTTTTTGTTGGCTTTGACCTCTGCGAGTCGAGCTGGGGAGCTTTATACTCCGGCTCCGTGGGTTCAGTTCATGTAATCTTGTAGGTTGTTTTGTTTGTTTGCACCCTTTTCCTTCTTTTCCCGCGTAGGAGGCAGTGAGCTTCCGGAGGGGTCTGTTGGTTGTGATTGATGGGTTGGTTTGGCCGGGGTTGCATCATGTGCTGTGTCCGGTGGCGGCTTTTCGCCACTACCTGTAGTAGTGGTGGCCATACCCATTGATTCTATGACAGTGTACGTGCTTTGGGGGGATCCAGTTTCCCTGGTTCCCTGTTCCAGGGCTCGTGTGTCTCAGGTTCTACTCTACTATCCCCTACACCTACTACAACAGGTGTCTCTACTATCCCCTACACCTTACTTTCCTCCTCAGCTCTCTCTTGCCTATTTATTGCCTGTCTCTACCTCCTCTTCACAATCGACTTGAGAATGGTCCAGGATGGACCGAAACGTCGTCATCCCTTCAACTTCTAGTGTGTGGTCTGGTCAACATACTTCAGCCACGTTATTGTGACTCATCGCCTGCATGTCTCAGGTTGTTTGCAGTGTCATTAAGTCTAGCCAGCCTGTGGTCTACCCTTGTGCCCATGATGTTAGGAAGTATGCTACTCTTGCGGCTGTACAAGTATTTGGGAATATCTCCGGGCCGACATTTGGACATGGGAGTTTGGGAGGTTGAACTGGGTCTTGGCCACTAAGTATCACATGAACATTCCGTGCCCCCATCCGGCTTTGCGTTGCTATGGGGCGTCTGTCATGGCCGTCCATTTTTTCTTCTTTTTCACGAGACATGCAGTGCTACTGCCTCCCGGGTAAGTCCCTGTTTCTCCTTATCTTTGGGTAGTTAGCTTCAGGGAGCCGACGTGGCTCTCCTCAGAAAATCGGTATTGAATGTAATGAAATGCCAATATCACCTCTGTGAACATAAATGTCAGTAGCTAGACAGACAGTATACTGGGTGTCCTTAGGATAACCCTCTTCCACCAGGGAACTGAAATTGTAATTGCATGCACAACCTAGATGGCGTTGATATCGTTATGTCGCCAACCAGAAGTCATCATCATCGACCTCACCTCCTAACTGAGGTGTGAAACAGGAGCCTTTCACCGATGCCACACCACCGCCAACAGATGGCGTTGTCTGCGTCTCACCTAATACCTGGGAATTGGAGTACAGATCCATAGATGGAGCCAAAATCGTCACTCCCCCACTCCAGCAATGGTGTTGATACCATAACAGTTACTAATATTATTCATCATGTCATATGTTGGGTATTATATTTTTGTTTCAACTATCGGGGATTATATTGGCCCAAGGTCTAATTTTTGTTTTTTTCCAGGTATTGAAGACTATGAGCAAAGTGATTCAGGAATGCTGGCATGGCAATCCTGCTGCTCGTCTGACAGCTCTCAGAGTGAAAAAGACACTGTATAAACTGCATGTTACTGATGGCACCAAGATTGTTTAGTGCAAATTATAAATTATTTGTTGAGTTTATGGGTTTAGCAAATGCAACTGTGTAGTGTAAATCCAGTTAAAGATTTATAAACTTTTATAAGAAATTTTTTATATCAAATAACTGTATACATAAAACCTTGTATAGTGATTTTTAGCCTCTTGTAAAGACGAAGCGAGTGACTTGTGGTAGAGGAGAACAACTGGCGGTGTTAGCGATGACAAGACTGCGTGCAGTGTCTCCACATGTGGAGTGAAACAACAAGTGCCTGATGTGTAGTGTGAGAACAGTAACCAAGTGTGAGTGCCACTTGGATGGACTTTAGTAAAGCCAAGTGTTGTAGAATAGACTGTTTTAGGTGACTATAAGAGCAATGGGAGTCCTTGCATTTATTATTGTGATGGCGAATCCAAAGGACAGTGATGCTATCACCATTAAAATATATGAATACTTCGTCTGGATGAGATGACACCTTAATATTATTTTAATATTATTTCCCACCTGTACTATTGCCACTAACTATTACTGCGTGCCATCCTAGTCTATCACGCAGCAATAACTTTTAGTTGTACAAGAATCTCGTGCTGGATTAAGTCTTACAATAGAACTAAATTCATATTCAAATTTAATGCTTCCTTAAAAATACTGTATTTCTCATTAACATATGTGATCAGATGTGTTCAAACACTACAATGGAATCTGTCCAAGTGAAATTGTCCTAAAGCACATATAATGTCTGGACTGATTGTTAAAATGATTGTTAAATTGGATTAGCACCCACATGGAAAATACATATTAAAAAAAAATTTATAAAACACACACACACACACACACACACACACACACACACACACACACACACACACACACACACACACACACACACACACACACACACACACACACGCACATGCACATAGAGAGAGAGAGAGAGTGGTAGACGGTTGGAACAAGCTAAGTGAGAAGGTTGTGGAGACCAAAACCGTCATACAAGAGAGTACTGGGAAGACAGGACACCGTGAGTGTAACTCTCATCCTGTAAGTACACGTAGGTAATAACAAACACAGAGCTCAATAAGCTCAGGAACCTGTACACCAGTAGATTGACAGTTGAGAGATCTGAAGAGCTAGGTGAGTACTCACACAAAATGTGCGAGTAATATTCATGTGTGACGGTCATAAGACGTAGAGATATTTAGTGTTCACTAGTAGTGCACATTGTCATTGAGAGATACTCATTAATATAATTTTCAGAGCATGCCGTACTATATCAGCATTGATCAAAGAGCAGTTTATCTATCGATTTCTGCGTACATTAGAATGTGTAGGTTTGAGAACTAATTTAAGAGGAATTGTGACACCATAGCTAGTCATATAAAATATGTCCTTCCAGTTGACATTTACAATATATAGCGGTTCAGTATTAACTCTCTTGCATTGGTTACAAGCAGTACTGTCCTATGGATGTTTGGAAGAGTTTGGCAGAAAGTGAGAGGAGTGTGAACTCTGCCTTTTAGGATGCCAGCTGGAGGCCTCATCTTGTGCAAGGCTCCTATTGATGATGTGCCTTTACAATGTTTAGTCACACAAATTACCTGTTAAGTGAGCATCTGGATTATTGGATCACCTTGTACATATTAGTCTTTTAAAAGTTGTAAGCTAAAATGTGTTTTGTTTTAAATTATTCAGTGCTATGCTATTTGTTATACAAGTCAAATTGTAATATTATTACCTTGTTATGTGCTTATTGTGTTTTAAAGATGCATTTCAGGTATTTTATCATTTTATGTACTGAATATTTCCATCTAATATGTATACATTATCAAAATACTTCCATATAATTAATACTTATCAATTGAATTCTTAAATTCTGAAAACACTTATCAGCTTGGCTGTAAAACTTGTGGGTTTATTTCAGTTTGGAGTAATGTTTGATTCTATGTGAGAATGCTAATAATATTTGTTATATTTTAAGTGTACTCATAATAATTTAAGTATTTTGCACCAATAGGCAGGACTGATCTCTGTTGACATTGTCAGGCATGCATGAGCCAGCCCCCTCCCCCTGGCCCACTCCTCCCCACCCCACCATATATACCCCCATCACCCCCCACCATGCACCTCTTCCTCCCCCACCATGCACCTCTTCCTCCCCCACCATGCACCTCTTCCTCCCCCACCATGCACCTCTCCCTCCCCCACCATGCACCTCTTCCTCCCCCACCATGCACCTCTACCTCCCCCACCATGCACCTCTACCTCCCCCACCATGCACCTCTACCTCCCCCACCATGCACCTCTTCCTCCCCCACCATACACCTCTCCCTCCCCCACCATTCACCTCTTCCTCCCCCACCATGCACCTCTCCCTCCCCCACCATGCACCTCTTCCTCCCCCACCATGCACCTCTTCCTCCCCCACCATGCACCTCTCATGCCACAACTTCCCTTGCTCTTCCCAAGTCTTCCTGCCATCCCACACTCCCCATGCCTTCTGGTTCCCCCATACCCTCCCCAGCTCTCCCCCATACTCTTACTCCCAGTCATGGTGTTTAGCTCACCATTTCCATAATTACCATAGCCATGCATGGAAGAAGTCAAGAATTACGGGGAATACAAATAACATCACAGCATTTGTCAATTCCAGCAACCAATCTCACACTTTGTTTTAATATTGAAGGAATATAACAAAATAAGCATTTATCCAGTTATTCTTTTGGATGATAGCCTGTGTCTTTACCTGTGTAATGAATTTTGTTCAATGTATAATTTTAACATGTTTTGTTTACTGTGTGTGTGCGTAATTACCTAAGTGTAGTTACAGGATGAGAGTTATGCTTGTGTGTGTATATGTACATATATATATACGCTTGAATGTGTGTGTGTGTGTGTGTGTATATATATATATATATATATATATATATATATATATATATATATATATATATATATATATATATATATATCGTACCTAGTAGCCAGAACGCACTTCTCTGCCTACTATGCATTGCCCGATTTGCCTAATAAGCCAAGTTTTCATGAATTAATATATTTTCTCTAATTTTTTTCTTATGAAATGATAAAGCTACCCATTTCATTATGTATGAGGTCAATTTTCTTTTATTGGAGTTGAAATTAACGTAGATATATGACCAAACCTAACCAACCCTACCTAACCTAACCTAACCTAACCTATCTTTATAGGTTAGGTGGCCGAAAAAGTTAGGTTAGGTTAGGTTAGGTAGGTTAACCTGGTTGATACCTGGTTGATGGGGTTCTGGGAGTTCGTTAGGTAGTCGAAAAACAATTAATTCATGAAAACTTGGCTTATTAGGCAAATCGGGCCTTGCATAGTAGGCTGAGAAGTGCGTTCTGGCTACTAGGTACGACATATATATATATATATATATATAAATATAATATTTCTAATGGTTTAGAATGTGTGGATGGGCTTAGCTTTAATGTATATATTAATACAAACACGAATGTGTACATGAATACATTTTATAAATGTAATTGGCAGTTCAAAATTTGAATGATTGTTTATAATATAATATTAAAGCATATCATTTATATATTCATCATTTGTGTTGAGTAGATTTGATGCCATTTTATTGGAGTTAAGTTTGCACTTCTTGTTGAGTGTTAATTAGTTTCGCAGTGTCACTATTTTTGTTTTGTAGTTGTTTATGGCTTTATTTTGTGCACAGTCCTCATTTGCAAGCAAGATTATATTGTACAATACATAATGTGGAGTACACTTGAGTGAGGTAAGTGTGCAAGCAAGATTATATTGTACAATACATAATGTGGAGTACACTTGAGTGAGGTAAGTGTGTGCAGCCTGCGCAGCAAGACGTTGGGGAGGGAGGGGGGGGGTTGTGTTTAATGCTGTGTGTTTACCAGTCTGTTTCTTGTGCCATGGCTTCTTAGTAGCCAAACTATTTGTCTGTGATGAATTGACTTTATAATGACCATTTCTTTTAATTTGAAATATTATATGGGTTCACTTGATATTGAGTTTGATTGTTATGTTATTTCAGTAGGACAGTGTGAGTGTCTTAATTATTAGTAGTTGCCGTACTAGAAGTAATGCATTGATGCGAGTTTATAAAAACCCACCTCGGTTAGTCCTTGAAGATAAGATGACTCCAGTTTTATTTTTTATTTTTAGTTGTCATTATCATCATCATCATCTTCAGGATGTCTTTGGGTATGTTGTTTTTCTTCATGGTTTCTGCTCAGTGTTTCATATTAAATTAAACTTAAAGTATGATGGTATGATAGAAAAAGTAATGCTATTAAAATTTATTATCATTGCACTTGTTGTTATTTGATCAGATCTAAGAACCATTTTTCTCATCATTTGAACTTGTAAATGTTAAAAAATCCTTTGTATGACAAAAAAAAAGAGCTTCCTCTTTATACTAGGCAGTCTATAATTTCCCCACCTTTTCCTGAACACCCTCCACCCCTTTCCCGAGCTCTACATGATGACAGCTTGAGTGTACAATATTACTGGACAGTCTTCCAGATTCATGCTAGTATGGGTTAAGCGAGAATGGAGCAAGGCCTTAGACTTTTATAACCAAGTGCAGCTCTTGGCCCACCCACTTCCTTGTCCCATCCAGCCCCACTGCCTCACCCCACAAAACCTCACTGCTTTTCCATACCCAACCTCTCCACCTCACCCTTCCACTCCACCTCACCCATCCACTCCACCTCACCCAACCTCTCCTCATCCCACCCAACCTCTCCACTTCACCCAACCTCTCCACCTCACCCCACCCAACCTCTCCACCTCACCCCACCCAACCTCTCCACCTCACCCCACCCAACCTCTCCACCTCACCCCACCCAACCTCTCCACCTCACCCCACCCAACCTCTCCACCTCACCCCACCCAACCTCTCCACCTCACCCCACCCAACCTCTCCACCTCACCCCACCCAACATCTCCACCTCACCCCACCCAACATCTCCACCTCACCCCACCCAACCTCTCCACCTCACCACACCCAACTACTCCACCTCACCCCACCCAACCACTCCACCTCACCCCACCCAACATCTCCACCTCACCCCACCCAACCTCTCCACCTCACCCCACCCAACCTCTCCTCATCCCACCCAACCACCTCACCACACCCAACTACTCCACCTCACCTCACCCAACCTCTCCACCTCACCACACCCAACCTCTCCGCCTCACCCCACCCAACCACTCCACCTCACCCCACCCAACCTCTCCACCTCACCACACCCAACCTCTCCGCCTCACCCCACCCAACCACTCCACCTCACCCCACCCAACCTCTCCACCTCACCCCACCCAACCTCTCCACCTCACCCCACCCAACCTCTCCACCCCACCCAACCTCTCCACCCCACCCAACCTCTCCACCTCACCCCACCCAACCTCTCCACCTCACCCCACCCAACCTCTCCACCTCACCCCACCCAACCTCTCCACTTCACCCCACCCAACCACTCCACCTCACCCCACCCAACCTCTCCACCTCACCCCACCCAACCTCACCCCACCAACCTCTCCACCTCACTGCACCCAACATCTCCACCTCACCCCACCAACCTCTCCATCTCACCCCACCCAACCTCTCCACTTCACCACACCCAACCTCTCCACCTCACCCCACCCAACCACTCCACCTCACCCCACCCAACCTCTCCACTTCACCACACCCAACCTCTCCACCTCACCCCACCCAACCACTCCACCTCACCCCACCCAACCACTCCACCTCACCCCACCCAACCTCTCCACCTCACCGCACCCAACCTCTCCATCTCACCCCACCCAACCTCTCCACTTCACCACACCCAACCTCTCCATCTCACCCCACCCAACCTCTCCGCCTCACCCCACCCAACCTCTCCACCTCACCCCACCCAACCTCTCCACCTCACCCCACCCAACCACTCCACCTCACCCCACCCAACCTCTCCACCTCACCCCACCCCACCCAACCTCTCCACCTCACCCCACCCAACCACTCCACCTCACCCCACCCAACCTCTCCACCTCACCCCACCCAACCTCTCCACCTCACCCCACCCAACCTCTCCACCTCACCCCACCCAACCTCTCCACCTCACCCCACCCAACCACTCCACCTCACCCCACCCAACCTCTCCACCTCACCCCACCCAACCTCTCCACCTCACCCCACCCAACCACTCCACCTCACCCCACCCAACCTCTCCACCTCACCCCACCCAACCTCTCCACCTCACCCCACCCAACCACTCCACCTCACCCCACCCAACCTCTCCACCTCACCCCACCCAACCTCTCCACCTCACCCCACCCAACCTCTCCACCTCACCCCACCCAACCACTCCACCTCACCCCACCCAACCTCTCCACCTCACCCCACCCAACCTCTCCACCTCACCCCACCCAACCTCTCCACCTCACCCCACCCAACCACTCCACCTCACCCCACCCAACCTCTCCACCTCACCCCACCCAACGTCTCCACCTCACCCCACCCAACCTCTCCACCTCACCCCACCCAACCACTCCACCTCACCCCACCCAACCTCTCCACCTCACCCCACCCAACCTCTCCACCTCACCCCACCCAACCACTCCACCTCACCCCACCCAACCTCTCCATCTCACCCCACCCAACCTCTCCACTTCACCACACCCAACCTCTCCGCCTCACCCCACCCAACCTCTCCGCCTCACCCCACCCAACCTCTCCGCCTCACCCCACCCAACCTCTCCGCCTCACCCCACCCAACCTCTCCGCCTCACCCCACCCAACCTCTCCGCCTCACCCCACCCAACCTCTCCGCCTCACCCCACCCAACCACTCCGCCTCACCCCACCCAACCTCTCCGCCTCACCCCACCCAACCTCTCCGCCTCACCCCACCCAACCTCTCCGCCTCACCCCACCCAACCACTCCACCTCACCCCACCCAACCTCTCCACCTCACCCCACCCAACCACTCCACCTCACCGCACCCAACCTCTCCACCTCACCCCACCCAACCTCTCCACCTCACCCCACCAACCTCTGCATCTCACCCCACCCAACCTCTCCACTTCACCACACCCAACCTCTCCACCTCACCCCACCCAACCTCTCCACCTCACCCCACCCAACCACTCCACCTCACCCCACCCAACCTCTCCACCTCACCCCACCCAACCTCTCCACCTCACCGCACCCAACCACTCCACCTCACCACTAAATATGCCATCTTGTTCCTAGTCATCCTCCCCAACCTCCCACATTTAGTCCATAATGAGAAAGACAGGGGGTTTATATATTCACAAATATTTACTAATAATCTTGGTATGATGGTGAGAGCCTGTGATTTGTATAATACATCTTAACACTTGGTATATTGACAGACTCCTGCCACAGGGGGACTGGAGACAATTCTTGATTGACAAATATATTAAATTAATTTCTTTGGTTAATTATTAATTGTGAACATGAAATACTTATTTTTGTTTTTCAATTTTCATTGTGGTTGACATTTCTCTGGATTTATGATGCAACTAATAAGACTAGTTGCATCATAACTAATAAGACTATATTTGATCATAGTTTTGCAAGTATTTTGCATATCCTTGGATTCTTCGAGTTTTCAAGCCCAAATTATTTTAAATGTTCTCGAGTTCGTTAGTGGCAGGCAGAGCATGCAGGTTATCTTGCGGTTATATTGTGTTGATTCCAAGGGTTGAGGTCCCCACGGCCCGGTCTCTGACTAGTCCTTGCAGTATCTATTTGCTTATTTAAAAATTACAAGTAGTGATGAAAACTTACATTCGTCTCCACATTGTTTCCACTGTTCACACTGTTGTCTTTGATTTCTTAATGGCTATATTTGTAATTCAAAGCAAAGTATAATTTGAATACAATATTAAGAAGAAATATGTATTAAGCCAGACAAGCACTTTTGGGGAAGGAAAACATGAAAGCATGAACTAGGGAAAAGTTTTGATAATTTAATAAATTTAACGTTTTAATTGAGCCCAGTTAATTTGGTATAATTTGTTTAGTCCAATTAAACATTAATTTTGACTGTTTCTTTAAACAGATTGAGCATGTATAGCATTTAAAGTTTTTCCTATTTGACAGTTTATTCTGAAGCAGTTGCTGTTGACAGCAAAGCCAGTAATGTAAAATGAAAATAAATTGCCATAAGTATGCATAAATATAGATTGATGTGAATGAGAAAAATATTGAATGGTTAGACATACCGTAGTTTGAATGTGTGTTCTGTCTGGAGTCAGCTTATTGTGTAACCATATCCTAAACCAACAAGGTACAGTGAAGTAGATAATGATTTATTACTGCCTTCCTATATTGCAAAGTACTCAGGCTTTCAAAATATATAATATTGTATTGTGAGCTTAATTGTTAATGTCAACTTTAACAAAGTTATTTTTGTCCGAAATTTTTTTTTCTCAAGAATTTTTGCCTTCTTGTTTTGGTGGTACAAATTTCCTCAGATTGTATTGTGGTACAGTATATGGATGTATACATACATCATATTAAGTAATGCTTTATGATGATATCATTTTAATAACCTCTGTTATTTTGTATTGATCCCAAATTCCCGTGTTGCATCAGGTGATGTTCATCCCGGGTTTAGTGTGGTAGTTAAATATGTTTTGTGTGTACTTCCATAAATGATTTGCCTTTTAAGTAAAAATGGAGATGTCATCTGCAGCAACAGGGAAGGAGCAAGATTTTTATATGTGTATAGTACTTTGATACTCCTGTATAACATTGTACATAATCATCAGAGTTTTAATTGTATATAGTGTGGTGCATCGTATGATGCTGACCTGGGTCAGTACGATCAGCCTACTGTATTGTATATAGTGTGGTGCATCGTATGATGCTGACCTGGGTCAGTACGATCAGCCTACTGTATTGTATATAGTGTGGTGCATCGTATGATGCTGACCTGGGTCAGTACGATCAGCCTACTGTATTGTATATAGTGTGGTGCATCGTATGATGCTGACCTGGGTCAATATGATCAGCTTACTGTATTTCATAATGTGCTTTTTTACGAAATATTTCAAATATTTTTTTTTAATTGTACAGTAATTGTAATGTGTCACTTGGATGCACTTATACATAGCAAATACTTTCAGTGCAGCTGAAACAAATATTTTCAGTAGTAATTTTGCATATGTTATGCCTTGTAATTTACGTAACCAGTTATACAAATGAAGGAAGACGGCAACCTTATGTTATCTTTTAATAATGGGCATTGTGATCAAAATGTCTTGGTCTAATTTTTTTTTTATAATTAATAAAGAATTGTTATTACTGACTGTCCACATACAGTATAATGTATCCCAAAACAGAGATTTGTTTGTCTTTCACATTGTGTGTAGGAACCATAAGTGCCATAAACTCATTAGATTAGGTTAATAAGTCACATTTTAGTATGCACCTCTGTTAATCAGTCATAACTTAAACTGGCATAATTGTGGATAAAGAGTAATGTTAAATGGAAATTAGTCAAGACATTTATTACGAGAGACCAGCAAACTTTTCGGGGTCCCGTAGCTCATATGATAATGCTCTAGACCCAACCTGATAGATTGAAATTTAAATTTAAACAAGTTTATTGAGGTATAAATACACAAACGGAGGAGGCAGCTGAAGCTATTCCCACTCCGTTCAGTACATGATGTTCATACACACATCACAAACAATAAACATATTACCGAACATTGTGAGTGATAAACATGTACATTTCTTCCTTTAAAGTGATAGATGAACGTGTGATAACTTAGCCAGGCCGAATTGGAAGGGCATTATATTGTGTGGTGTGGAGACCCCACCTACTCTCGCCTGCTCCGTTGGGACCCCCCCACCCTTCATAATGGTAGATGGTGGCATCAAGGACATCAAACTTTAGGAAGAACTATGAAATACTTGTCATCTTTTATATATGTTAGTGCCTTTGATTTGTCCTTGTACTCTTATTCTTCAATGTTTTTGTTGTGCATCATTTGGAAGCCTTTGTGGTAAATGAGTAATTACTTACAGTTCATGTGCCCTTAAATAGTTCATATCCTAGGTTGCTGTAATTTTATGAAATGTAGTCAAACATACAATATACAATACCACAGGTACCAGTGGTATCAGTGGTATTGTATAAGACATCAACTCATATTGTATACTGGTATTATTGTTAAGTGTAATGACTGAATCAAAGTTTTTGGGAAACTTATGGTACTGCTGTTCATCATTATTTATTACTTACTGTTTTCCTCATATTTGCATTGTAAAATATCATAGTAACATTTAACAATGTTTTCATTGAATTATTGACTTGGCCAGAGAGTTTACTTTGCCTAGTGGGCAGCAGGAGCCAGGCGAGTCATTATAAATAACAGTTTACCCCATCACCTTTTCAATTAGCTTCACATATCAGTTACATCAAAGATATTTTTTTAATTTTATTAACAAATGCCACTTGTAAGCTTAAATTCAGTGTCAGTAGCAGACCAGATAATTATATGTTTATAAAAATAATGAAGATGTTAAACATTGAAATCATACTCACTAAGGCTATAATTTTTATAGTTACTAATAAAACTTTCTGAACAGTAATTTTTTATTTTACCTTTGAATAAATAATTTGTAGGGTTGATTTAAATATTTTTTTATTTCATAGCCTAGCTTATGGCTGGGCTTCCTTGGCAATTGCCTAGCAAGTGAGGCTGCTTGTGTAAGTGGCCTACATGTCCACTTAAACATTAACATTCAGATGGTCTTGTAACTCCTTTTAAACTCTTGGAGGGTTTGCCAGGTCCCCTTCTCCCAAGTGTACAGCTTAGTCGTGGGGGAGGGACTTGTGTACCCCCTCCCTGTCCGGTCCGTTGCTGCCGTGAGGGGGCTTGGTGGGCAGCTGCCGGAGTGTGATGCTCCATGGGACAGTCCTCTGTCCTTTTGTGGCCTTCTGCTCCTGCTGCTGTCCTCTCGAATTCTGCCAGTGGCTTTTCCTTATGTTCCGTTTTTCTCTCCCCCCCCCCCCTCTTTTCTAATTGTCATTTCCCGCCGACCTTTTGCCTGTTTTGATTATTATTTCAGCCTTCTTTTGTTTTGATGCCCGAGTGTTTGAGGAGGCATACTCTTGTGGTACCCGATGTCGTGAGCGAGGGGATGCTTTTATTGTCAATCCTTTCGTCACTGAACCCGATCTCGACGGACTGGTTCTTAGAGGAGGGGGCATTATTATTAGGAGGGGGACGGCGGGGGGTTTCAACGCCGTCCACACCACGGCCGCACTCGCACGATCCCTTCCAGTACTAATGCGTACCAGGCCTTGATTGGTCCCGCTTAGTGGGTCAAATACTTTGATCTCCGCCCTCTGGATTCTACACCTGACGATTTCTCCCTTCATAGGCACCTTGTTGACTCAGAAGATGCCTCTGTTACTTTCAACCCCACCCGTCTCTGTACACGTGTCATTGCTGTTCCTCCTTAGGATGCAGCCACCTGCTTGGCCTCCTTATCCCGCACGTGTGTACATTACAAACCTGAGGCAGACGTCCTCACCTTGAAGCACCGGGAACGTTTGTCTTTTCCTGAGGCGAGGCGCCAAGTTCGCCATCTCCCCCCTTTCGTTGGTGTCTTATGCTCGTGTGTTGTGCTCTTCCTCTCCTCATCCTTCCCACCTTCTTCAGGCTCGCAACCGTTTCCAGGCCTTAGACCCAGATGCGCCGCTGTCTGTTTTCCTTTAAGTTCTGTCCCGTCGGGGTCCCTCCCTCATGGTTCTCTGCTTGGGGTTCCCCTTCTTTCAACCAAGTCTGTCTTGAATCCTGTGTCTTCTTCCTCGTCTCCCTCCGATCCAACTTCCCATCCTTCTTCTCCGTCTCTTAGTTTTCCACGCTGCCTTCTGTGCGGGCTGATGTCCATCACTCTCCCAGCGGCCATCGTGTTGTTTGCTCTCGTTCTGCTTCTCCTGCTGAGATGCTTGAATGTGTTGCCCAGTGCGTTGTTGCTGGGACACCTGTCTCTTTGAGTCAGAAGCGAAAGCCTGGCTCCTCTCCTTCCTCCTCCCCGGCGGGTAAGAAGGCTTCGCTTTCTTCCTCGCCCCTCCCCCTTACCTCTTGACTCTCTTGCTCCATCCTCATCCCTTTCGGTGGTTGTGCTCCGTTCCTGCTATGGAGGTTTCTTTGGCCCCCGCTTCCCTCTCGGTTGCTGTCCTTGACCCTCAGTTGTCCTCCCCTCCTCCTCTTGCTAATCCTCCGGACCCTGCTTGTCCGCCTCTGGTCGGTCCTCCCGCTCCCTTCCTTCCATCCTTACTCAGTTTACCCATGCCCACTAACCCTGACTTCTCTGACCTTGATTCTGATCCTACGCTTCTTTAACGTGCTGTGTGCCTTTTTCACCTTTGTTTCTTCATTGTTCTCTGTTGCTGTCCTTTCTCTTCTTGTCGATGTCTATTCTTCAATGGAATATTCGCGGATATTACGCCAATTTCCATGAACTCCAACTTCTGATTTCACAGTTTTCGCCCCTTTGTGTCTGTCTCCAGGAGCCGATGCTTGGTGCTCGTCCTGGTCGCTTCCGTGGCTATTCCTTTCTCTTCCCCCCCTTCCCCCCTCGGCTTTTACTGGGGCCCGTTCCTCTTCTGCTCTCTTGATTCGTTCTGATGTTCCCTTCGTCCCCCTACTTTTTCCGTCACCTCTCTAGTGTTCTGCTGCACGTGTCTTTGTGCGTAAATGGTACACGGTCTGTTCCATTTACCTCCCCCCAAATGTCCTGATCTTAAACACCTACTGGACTCCTTGCTGATGCTGGTTGATTTCAATTGTCAACATAAATTAATAAATCAAAAAACATAAATTAATGAATGAGTCGCAACATGGTTTTACAAATGGCCGTTCATGTTTAACAAGTTAATATAGCACCCCCAATAGCTTCTATTTTTTTTAATTAGTCTTTCATGTGGCACTGTATCAAAAGCTTTGCTAAAGTCAAGGTACATAACATCACAATCCTTACCACTATCAACTGCCTCAACTATGCTAGAATAAAAAGATAACAAATTTGTTAAACATGAACGGCCATTTATAAAACCATGTTGCGACTCAATTATTAATTTATGTTTTTCAAGATGAAGACGAATTTTATTTGCTATTATAGATTCGAGTAACTTTCCCACAATAGACGTTAGGCTAATTGGTCGATAGTTAGATGCAAGTGATCTATCTCCTTTCTTAAAAACTGGTATCACATTAGCAACTTTCCAAAACTCTGGCACTCTGCCTGACTCTATTGATTTATTAAATATGGTTGACAGTGGGTCACAAAGCTCCTCTTTGCATTCTCTAAGCACCCTGGCAAACACTTCATCCGGCCCTGGGGATTTGTTTGGTTTGAGTTTTACTATTTGTTTAAGAACATCCTCCCTGGTAACTGCTAAACTCGTCAACCTGTCCTCGTCCCCACCCACATAGACTTGTTCGGCTGAAGGCATATTGTTAAGTTCCTCTTTAGTAAATACAGATACAAAATATTTATTAAAAATACTACTCATCTCTTCATCACTATCTGTTATTTGACCTGTCTCAGTTTTTAATGGACCTATCCTGTCCCTAGTCTTAGTACGATATAACTGAAAAAATCCTTTAGGATTTGTCTTTGCTTGCCCTGCTATGCAAACTTCATAGTTTCTTTTTGCTTTCCTTATCTCTTTTTTAACATTTCTAACCAGTTGTACGAATTCCTGTTCTAAAGTGACCTCCCCATTTTTAATCCTTTTGTACCAAGCTCTCTTTTTACCTATAAGGTTCTTCAAATTCTTTGTTATCCACTTTGGGTCATTAGTATTCGATCTATTCAATTTGTATGGTATACTACGTTCCTGTGCTTTGTTTAGAATATTCTTAAATAAGTTATATATTGAATCCACATCGAAATCCCCATTTAAATCGCTGGGTTCATGTCTCGCTCCAAAACCGGCCCACACCCCATACCCAAGACTTTCCAATCAATTTGACCCAAAAAATTTCTTAGGCTATTAAAATCAGCTTTTCGAAAATCTGGCACTTTAACAGAATTTTCTCCTACAGGTCTATTCCATTCTATGCTAAATCTGATTTCTTTGTGATCACTGTTCCCTAGCTCACTCCCTATTTCGATGTCATTAATTTGTGTTTCCCTGTTAGTTAACACTAAATCTAAAATATTATTTTCCCGTGTTGGTTCCTTAATGTGTTGCGTAAGAAAGCAATCGTCAA